TTAATTTTTTGGTCGCTGTTGAGTTTGGCGCCAAGTGAAAATTCTGAGCGGGAGTGCTAAAAAAATTTCAGCGACCAAATTTATTTTTGCGAAGGAAATTTTAGTTGCCAATTGTATTTATTTGGCGAAAAACATTATTTGGTTGCTGAAAATCTGAATAATATTTATGGCAACCAAATTAATTTGGTCACTAATAAATTATTTGTCTTTACCCTAATTTTTTATTACCAAAAATAATTGACTAAATATTTTGGGTAAATAAAAAATCAATTCACCTTCACTTCTTCATTTCATTTGCTCAGTCCATCAGAAACGCACAGCACATGTATGCACTTCTTCTTCTTCTCTCTCTCTCTTCCTCTCCCTCTCCCTCTCTTGCATCGCCGAATGCAAAATGCATAGCAGCGCTGGGCGACAACAGCGTTGGATGGAAGCAGATTGCGACCCTCTGTTTGGGTCGCTGCCCTCTTCTCTTCTCTGTCTCTGATATTCTGAATGTATTCCCTCTCCCTCTCCCTCTTGCTCTCCCGCACTGCCGAATGCAAACGGCACAGAAACACTAGGCGGTAGCAGATCGCGACCCTCTGTTTGGGTCGCTGCCCTCTTCTCTCTCTCTTTCTCTCTCTCTTTCTCTCTCTCTAGATTATTGGCCTGAATGTGACTTTCATTCAATCGAAGGTGGATTTGAGATTTCTTAATACTAAAGTTTCGAAATTACTCTCTTTTTTGTGTGCATACATATATTTCTGTATTATATGTGTATATGTTAATTGAATGGTGAGTTTGTTCGATACTGTTTGTGGTATTGTTCGATTAGTTTTGTTGCACTATGAATTAATTTCATTGAATAATCAAGCTTTTGATCTTCTATTTTTCTTTGTATTTTAGAGTTTTCGAAATTGAAATCAATGGATTTGAGGTTTCCTAATACTAAAGTTTTAAATACATACATATATATATATATATATATGTATATGTATATATGTTAATTGAATGGTGAGTTGGTCCTTTGTGTTAGTGATTGATTGTTGCACTATGAATTGATTTATAATATTGAGTAAATTGAATTTTTTATCTTCGTTTTCCTATGTATTTAAGAGTGTTCGAAAATGATTTCATTGTGTCTACATCATCTTCAATTGAGTCTTTTTATTGTTGAAGGGTTGAATGAGCATGTGAAGAGGTTTAGAGGTAGAAAAAAGAAAAAGTGAAGAAAATGAGTAGTGGCATCATGATGAGTAAAGTAAATAGCAAAATTCTATCTTCTTCTTTGATGAGATCAAAGTAATGTTGATGCTCTGTTTAGAGTAATGTTGATGCTTCTACTAATTTAGCCTCTTGGTTTTTAATTATTTGTTTGGAAAAAGGGTAGGAATTGATATACAATTTGAAATTGGTTGTATGAGAACGATTTTTTTTTTCGGTCATTTTCTGTTTGTTTTTTTAGGGTTAGAGGTAGAAAAAGGAAAAAGTGAAGAAAATGAGTAGTGGCATCATGATGAGTAAAGTAAATAGAAAAATTCTATCTTCTTCTTTGATGAGATCAAAGTAATGTTGATGCTCTGTTTAGAGTAATGTTGATGCTTCTACTAATTTAGCCTCTTGGTTTTTAATTATTTGTTTGGAAAAAGGGTAGGAATTGATATACAATTTGAAATTGGTTGTATGAGAACGATTTTTTTTTTCGGTCATTTTCTGTTTGTTTTTTTAGGGATGGAGAGGTGGCTTTGGACTTGGGATAATTAATCCAATCCCATATGATAGTACAAACATAACTTTTCTTTTTTTTTTCGCTGGTAGGTTTTGACTTGTATGAAGCCATGCCATCTAACTTAACTCCATGTACTCAAAGTGTACCATCTACAAATGCTCTACATATCCAGGCTGCACCATCTGCAAATACAACTACTACTCAGGCTTTACCATCTACAAATGCAACTACTACACAGGTTGCACCATCTGCAAATGAAGCTACTACCGAGGCTGCACCATCTACAACTAGTTTGCGTACCCGTTTTACACAGGTAAGAGGTCAGACTCGAGAGAAGAGCATAGTCTTCCCTTGATTAGGATAAAACAATGGGTAAAACTCATATTGATATTAGTTTGAGTGGAGAGATTTTTAAGTGATTTTTATCCAAATTTAAATTTGATATAGGTTTTGAGTCAAGAATTGGAGATGCCTTAGGTTTCAAGTATACATAGCATTAAACAAGGTTCTGGCTCTGTTGTAGGTTATGAATCCACTTAGCCCCTAGTTTTACTACAGATTGGTTTTTTCAAATTCATGGGCTTTTGTTTCAATGAAGAATTAAACAACACAGATAAGTCAATGCCTAATCTAATCCCGGCTTGCATCCACTATAGCTTTTAAAAGGGAAGATGCTGGATCCTTTTTCTTCCATAATTTCTCGTGGCAATAAATTTCCTTTCTTTATGGGCTCACAGAAAGTGTTGAGAGTTTATAGCAATCTTGAAGTGTTGACAGATTGTCAAAAGACAAATACAAGTAATTAAAGGAAAGGATAATATTAAAGTGCGATTGTAATGAAAGATTATCTTTAACAGGTTCATATACAGGTTCTGGGAGATGGCTCATGACCTAGAAATCTTTAGGTCCCTTAAATTAATTGAAACCTACATGAACAACAAAATGTTCTTGTGCTTTGAACATGCTTAAATTGGACATAGGATCCTTCTTAGCATAACCTTGAGTCTCATAAGGGAAAGCTTGTTTTTATCACATTTGTGGACATGTATATGAACAAGTCTGTTACAATCATATTAATGGTTTAATGCTGCCTTATAGGTTAGAAATGAGGAATTATTTGACATTTCTTTGATGCAAGCATGGATTAGGGAGTGTTATTTTGATGTTAAATTTAGTATATATATAGGAACACTTGGGATAAAATTGAGTTCCTTCATATCTCCTTTTGTTTTTTTGCTCTACGTATGCAATATTCTCCTATAACTGTGTTGGCTATTAATCATCCATGGTAAAATAGAGTTTTTAGAAGCGAACATATTAAAGAACTCATGTCTGTACACCTTTGTTTGTTCCCTTCTTCAACATCTTTATGCTTTTTTCTGTTTAAATTAAAATTGCACAGTAAATAATGGGATCTTATTAGTTTTTCCTGGTTTATAGTGGTGCTTTGTAGGTTTCATTATAATTTTTATATTCTATCATCAAATGGGCCACAATGTTTTCTCTAGTTTTGTGAATTTAATCTATCTTAATTGCATTTTTTAGGGACAAATGCCAATGTTTCTGCAAATAATGGGGCACATTCTCAACAAGGAAAGAGAGAGACTTCCTTTTCTGACTCGGGCCCTTTGAAGGACAATGAACGTCGAGATCCCAACTGTGCTATAAAGGAGTATTTGCTTTTAGCAAGATACCGTCTTATAGCAATGACATTTTATAAAGAGGTTTGCAAATTGCAGCTTCTTCTTCTTCTTCTTCTTCTTCTTCTTTTTCTTCTTTAAAAATATAAAAAAAAAAATCTCTCATGTTTTGATATATGACCTTGGACTCTAAAAGATGGTGACTGCTGTTGATTGGTCAATCAATGGACATAAAAGACAAAAATGTGACACAAAAATTTAACTGAGTACCTATAAAAAAAAATAGGTGTACTTGAATAAATTTGTGTGTATTCTTTTGATTCTTCCATGAGTAAAGAATATTATGAAATAGATCCTTTATAATGTTGCATATGTAGTTGGCTTGCCCATGAAAGTGGTTTCTAACCTTAACAACCTCCTGTGTTGATCAGCGGGGTTTGTTCAGCTTTTGAAATACTGGTTTAACTAATCTGATGTAAAGTAATTAATTTTTCATTTGGTATTTGGTCTCTTATGTCGTGGTAATGTATATTCTTGGTGTCTCTAGAAAATATATTTACAATAGATTGTAGGTTTTGGCTCATCACATGAACATTGTTTTAACTTTTCATACATGCCAAGTTTTAACTGGTGAATCACGTGTTATACTTTTTGATTTTGATATATTGAAATCTTGTAATTCATCGTAGGAAAGTTTGCTCCTAATTTGTTCATCTATAATGTGAAACCAATGTTTTCAGACCAAGAACTTTATTATTAACATTTTAACATTGTAATTTTTTTCATATGTTTGACAGATTGGCAATGGATGGAACATAATTCGAGGAGTATCAAATGATTACATTTTAAATTTTTTGATATATTCTGTCATAGGTTTTTGTTATGAATTTGCAAGCTTAGAAGTTTTTTTGGAATTACATATGTTTGAAGTTTGGGATTATAAGGGATTTGTACTTATATTGGATGTTTTGGATTTGATGTTTTGCTTATATTTAATATGCTACTACTTTTGAATTAAGTTTATATTTTGGATGCTTTACATAAGTGTTTTAATTTAAATTATATTTTGCTTATGTTTATAGGTTTATGAATTATGTACAGAACATGGAAATTATAATTTTTTTTTATAAATAATGAATTTTGGGGACAGGTTTTGCAGTTGTAAATTTACTTTTGGTGACACTTTGTTCATGTTGCTGAAAGTCTGTGTGAATAATATTTTTAGCGACCCAAAACTTGATCAGTCGCCAAAATTTTTAACATTCAACAACTAATTCATTTAGTCACTGAAAGATACTTTTAGCGACACATTTATATGTCACTAAAACCTAACATGTCATCCGCTTAAGGCTACTTTTAGCGACTAAATGTTAATTTATTGTAACGAAAGTTTAGTCTTTTAGCAACTAAAATATTTGGTCACCGATTTATTTATAAGGCGACCAAAATTTATTTGGTCACTGAACCATTTAGTGACAGGGCTTCAGCGACCGATTTTGTTGATGTTGCGGATACTTTCAGCAACCGAAATTACACTTTTGGTGACTAAAAAAAGGTCGCTAAAAGTGTTTTTTTTTTTGTAGTGGCATCTACATTCACATACACATCCACATCCACAAAATCATATATATATATATATATATGTACCTTATAACAATTGTTAACCAAATATTCTTTACAAAGGATACGTGAAAGTCAATGGGCAGGAAATCTACCCAAGAGATGCAAGATCAACACCTAAAACTGTTAAGTCCTTGGTGTAACTTTCATCTTAAAAAATGCATGATTCACGATAAGCTCAGCATGAGATAAGTTTTCTATCTGGATCCATTATATCCAGAAGTTGTTCTGCATAGATGCTTTGACTGGCTGTGAACACCACAATTTCAAACATCTCAGCAACCCTCTCTAGGAACATCTGAAGGTGAGGCCTCTGTTTTACATAGACTGTGTGCTCTTTAATGTTGAAAAAGACTAGAAAGCTAAAATCCGCATCTTTACAATGTTCCAATGTAGAGTGGACAAGTGTTTCTGCACAAATGAAAGCTAGTGTGACCAACCTTTGGAAACATCAACTTATGTAAAAATTCTTTAAAATGATTCGTAGAAATACAAGTACACTCGAAGTTGAAAGTTCACTATAGGTGTGGATCATAAATATTATACTGACACAACCGAGAAATAAACTAGATAAGATAATGAAATAATATCAAGATTAATAGTAGACAGATCAAAGGAGTTCAATTTTCTTACCATCTAAATCCAGTAGTAGGGTAGTGGACTTCATTTTTTGTGTTTTATTTAGCAATGTGTGGTGAAAATTTGGTACCATATCTGATGGGTCAGGTAGACTTCGGATAAACATGTGTGGATCAAAGCACTCTAATTGATCTGAATCTGAGTAGGGATTAATATCAGGTTCCTCATTGCAGGATCTCAACTGATGGATTGCAAGATACAAGCTTGAATCATCTGAATCTGTAATGGTGTCCTCACATGTTCTGCCATCATGATCGCCACCTGCATCCATGGTATCCTCAAGGAAAGGTAGTATCATGTATTCCTTAGTTACATCAAAAAATGTACTTCACTCATCACATTTCTAATCAAGCAAGCAACTAGCTTCTGTGATGTCATCATAATTGAGTTGCCTTCGATGGGTAGCCTGCAATAATCACGTCAGAAATGTAGAGATCTGAGACAATGCAAGTTTGATATTCACTAGAGCTTCTATTGTTATCATCACTCTCATCAGCTCCCAAAATCGATGGATCAAGATCTTCGTTACTCCCTGTATAGAGATAAGAGGAAGGTAAGGCTTATTTAGACAATGTCAATCCATTTTTGGCACGACCAATTCAAAACTGAACGTGAATCTTCTGCTTTGCATTGTCATATGCAGAAGATGGTTTATATTTCCAAACCTAAGACATGTGCTTTAAATATTTTATAAAAACATAATCCAACAACAATAATCTATGTTGTTTGACATTCTTTACAAACATGTGCAAAGATTTATACTCCCATCTCCAACAAAGAACTCTTCATGGCTCAAGAAAAATTTCATCATTATTCATTCAAGTGACACATTAAATAAGTTGGGAGTGCAAGTGATAAAGAATTAAACTAGTGTGCAGGCAATAAATGAAATGAGTTTGCATGCAATGCAGACATTGGTGGTCTAGTAATTGTTTTATGGTGATCTTCCAAAACAAAATGTGTTGCTTCTTTGTTCTGCTCATCTTACAATTTTCGCACTGGTCAAGGATGTTGTAGTTTTTTAAATATGTGAACCCAATCTCTTTAAAGTGGCTTTTAGTGAAGGAAATTTTGAGTTATGAGGAGCTTTAGCTGATCAATATTGTATTCAAAACCAAAAGAAAGAAACAAATAATTTACTTCAGATACATACTGACCATTTTCTGGAAACATGAAGCAGTGACTTCCAGTATTTTCATTTCCACCTTTTTTAGGAGGAATGAAGCAACACAAACAAAATTTCTCAAAAAACTTCATCTTCATGTCAAAAAGTACACATGCTCTAGCGACAAATCTCTAATTTAAGATAAAAAAACAATTCCCAAGATAGCATAAATAGAAAAATTCTAAATTGTATCTGCATCATTGTTGATCTATGGTTCACTGTGAACTTCATTTGACTCCAAAGTTGGTGAAAAAATTGTCTCCAAGTTTGATGCACAGGTTGGTTGTATAGATTCCTGCAATCAGCCATCATTTGTCACACATAACTATAGTAACATTCTAGGAATACATTGTCAGACTTTTAAAATATGGGGAACATTCGAGTAGCAAAAACAAGAAATAAACTACTGAGTATTTTTCAATCTTATTTGTTCTAATTTATCAGTAAATCAATTTGGCAATCTACATAGGCCCATCTAGCCACCAAAGTTCATATTCTGCAAAAATCTCCAACTTCAGTTAATAGAAGGAAATAATGACTCCAACGGAATCCATGAGAAAAATAAGAAAATAAGAGAATGGCTCTCAATATGTAAATCTGATTAAAGAAAGAAAAGAGATTGGTGACAGTATGGAAAGACATTAGAACATTGAAAGCCTCAGTAAGAAGAGGCTATTAACTGACATGTATGTTCAAAATCTCAATTTCAAAAGCTAAATTTAAAAAAAAGAAAAAAGAAAAAACACACACACACTTATTTTACAATTGGCACATTGTTACCATTTGAAGGAGTTCTTAGCATTCAATCAACTCCTATCATGTTAGCACTTCCCTCTAAAACCACTAAAATTCTTCGATATCATGTTTGACTTCTAGCATACATGGAGACCATTTTTTTTCTCTTAAACACCCCATGGTTGACTTGTTCTTCATTTTTAATGATGGCATTTGATCTGTTCTTGTTATATGTAGCACAATCTTCAATTGAGTACATCAGTGGGGAAACAAAACCCCTCTAAACAATCAATACAGCAGCAAGAGACTGTCATGAAAACAACTGGGATAAGAAATTAATACTAGACACAGCAATACATATAGAGCAACTACTACAGAATATACTAAGAGACACATGAATCAGAAAGACAGGCAATGTAAATCAAATAGTTAAAGTATATATGCATCGATGGGAATAAAAATGTTTTAGAGCAACTACGATTCATTTAAAGAAAACTAAGATGTAGGTCAACAATACACCACATTCAGTATTTATATAAGTGAAATAACATAGAAGCAGACTAAGCATAGACAGTTTGACTCAGCTACAAACCCTATCATGGTAAACTGTGTAATGTACCTTACGACTACAAGGACCCATACTTCAATTCATTAAACATTTTGTGGTTCTAAGAAAAAAAGTCCTTCTTCTTACAAATAACTATCATAGCACCCCTTGATTCAATACTCATATTCTGGTCAGTTCATAATAGTTAAAAAGTCGCACAATCTGGCTGTTATTCATAAAGCAAAAGGCCATATTCTTTGTTGAAATTGCTCAATCTAGTACTTTGCAACAATTTTGAATTCTGATGCCATACACTAATCATACCCTTATGAATGCAGCATCAACTAGTATTATATGGGTGACATTATGTCCCGATTTGAAAGTATAATCAATGTAGACCTATTCAGTCGTCCCTCTGAATTCAAATATTGCCCGTCTCATTAGGTTAAAAAATTCCCATTCTGAGAACAAAATGGTGGATACAAATAGTGGGTCAAATGGCTAGGTAAACAACGTTCCTTTTGGCCGTTCTTTGATGTTAGCTTTTTATTAATGGAACAGTAATATTCCCATTTTGAGAACAAAACGGCAGATCTTGACTAGTTTGACCCCCATGCGCTACGCGCGTGGGGGTCGTGAGACTTGAATACCAGAATCTTAACACAAAAGTCCTAGAAGGATACCCATCGCATTTCCCCATCTTCCTATCAAACTTATTGTTAGAATTGTATCACACAATCATGGAAAGCTTTAAAGCTAGTGAAAATGATCTTTACCTTGTTCTTTGTTAAAATTGAAATATTGCCTAATCATAGGCAATATGATTACCACTATTTTTAACCAAAACTGTAACTCCAAAATGAGAAACTTACTTCAATTTTAAAGCCCTTCCTGACCAACTAAAATCTATAAATAGAAACCTAATAACATTACCCAACTACTAGCCATGGGCAACCAAAAACAACCCATGTCCAACAAGTTTGAAAATATACCAAAATACTCTCAACTCTTTAAACATATTTCACACGTATAAACTGACAACTAGCAGCAAACTTACTTAAAGAATAATTGACTCAAAAACAACTATGCAATTTCTGGAATGCCCTCCCCCCCCCCTCCTCAAATAATTGTTCCAAATCAAGAGCTAAGGCTTGGAAACAACTCTTCTATACCTTTTCTACATCTTACAAGGAAATCCACTAATCACTTAAAAGGACAATCATATAACTAGGGACATAAAATTTAACACCAAATAAATTAACAGACTCTATCTACAAACCATTCAAAGGATCACAAACAAACAAACAAACCCACACCAACCTACATATATATATATATATATATATAGAGAGAGAGAGAGAGAGAGAAAAGCTACCAAATAGAAGTAACGTGGCCTAGAATAGGGCACACCAAATTGCAATGGGCTCAAAATGAACTCTTGCGTAACAAAATCAGCTTTTGCCAATATCTCAATCATTATTCTATGCGTATCATATGTCTGCAACACATACACGTGAAAAAAGGGAGAAAAAGAATGATGTTGTCTCAATAAAGTTTGGTTATTTATCACACACAAAAAAAAAAGAGAACGAGAAAAAAAAGATAAAACAAGAAAACAAGAAACAAAAAAGAAGTGTTAATAATATATATGTAAAGGGAACTGAATTTATTAATTGAGATAAAAGTTTTCTATACAAACCTCAAACCCTACAACATTCTCCACAAATATCATGAGAGGAGGTTGAGAAGTTTCTGGTATAAGTTTAAGAATTTTGAGAAAAGAAGATGCCTGAGCATCAGCCGAGCCCTTTTGAAGACCTAAATAATAACAGTTTGAGAACACTTTGCCAATCAAAAAGAAATTAACAAGAAGAGGAAAGAATAGTTTTACCTTGCCGAGTGTAAAGCTTACAAGGAGGAGAAAGAAGCCATGTATGAGCACGATAGCTGTCAAAATCAGCAGCACTCAGGGTTTGAATGTTACCCTAAACTCAGTAAAAAAGTAATATTGACCATAACACATTTTAGATAAGCTCTAACAAAGAACTGCTCAAATGCAATCATGGGTAATCAGTATTTCTTAGCAGTCAAAGGCTAAACAACAAATTAATGCTTAATGGTGGAAAACCCATAATCCTCCATGTAGTTGCCAATATAAATGGGTATTTCATTTTTTTTTTCAAAATTAAGAGAAAAAATAAATAAATAAATAAAAGGTTGGAACCTAGGCATATATTGGCAGATGATTCAAGGTTTGGAGGGGTGCCACTTTCCCTATTTAGCCCAAGGGAGGGGTGCCCCTTCACAAATTTGTGAAAGAGTGAGGACAGATTAAATAAAAATATATCAATGCAAAGGACTTCCTAACAAGTCACCAAAACTTTTAAATTTTAACATAGTGAAATATGAACGGCTTAGACAATAGCCAAAAGTAAAAAATGTATGATGATAGAGTTCCTTTGACAGATGATGATTTGGCTTAGACAATAGGCAAAAGGAAAAAATAGATGATGATATGAGTTTCTCAATTAGACATGCACCCTGTACTCAGTTGTTGCCATTTGACCTGCCGGTTGCCCAAATGGCTTCTTCTTCATCAATCAACACTTTCTCATTCAACTCCCAACCAGACCTTCACAACCCCAAACCCCTAAAACACACTACTATGTTCAAAGCCTTCAAACCATATAACCCAATGCACACATCCAAACCACTCTCTCTCTCTCTCTTCTCCAACCTCCAACCCATATCCTACCGTCACATGTCTTTCAAACCTCATCATCATCTCCCCAATTTTGACTCTCAACTTCCCATTCTTCCAAAACCCACTTAAATTCTCTCAACCCTCAAAACATTTTCCATCTTTTGTATTAAAAATACTGCAGCTTTGCTTGTATATATAAATAAAAAGCACACACATTCATCAAAACAAATAGAAACAGACAGGTAAAGAGCACACACATTCATCAAACACATTGACAACACTTTGAATCAACCCTTCACACCCTCTCTCTCTCTCTCTCTCCCTCTCTCTCAATCTCCAATCTCTGCACCACTTTCTAGGGTTGCCATCCCCACACTCATACTTGCATAAACAAAAATGGAGTATCACTTTTCACAAATTCAACACGAGATTTAATTGTGAAACCGTTGCATAATGCGTTGGATTAAAATTGGTGTTTAGGGTAGATTTATTTATTTTTGTTTAGTTAAATCTAATGAAGAGGGTTTGATTCCAATGAAGGAAAAAGAAGATAAAAAGAGGAGAGGACATGCGAGGAGAGCAGAGGATAGCAGAGAAGAGATATACCTAGATGCCGGAGGGAGAATCGATGGGAAATCGCCGCCGCTGTCGCAACAAACAGTCTGTAAGGGTAATGAGAGAGAGAGAGAGAGAGAGATTGTGAAGGTTTGTGCGAGCGAGTGTGAGGGGAAACAAAAAGATAGAAGATGAGGGTTGCCAAGAACTCTTCCCACACTGGTGCTGTTGGGGCTGCGAGAGGTGATATCCATGTACTAACTGAGATCGAGGGCGAGATTGAGACAGAGTGGGCGATGATGTCGGCTTGGTGAAAGTGGATCAACAAACTGATACCGGCGGGAGTGATCACGTAGATGAGAGAGAGAGAGAGAGGGAGAGAGAGAACTCGAAGATGGAAGATAGAAAGCGAGAGAGGGAAAAACGAAAATATCAGGGCGCCAAGCGTTTGAGAAATTTGGGACTTTTGGGCGTTTTGTGGCTATTAGCGACAACACGACGATGCCCATCGCAAAAAAAAAAAGAGTTAAAAATATATATATTTACGTCGGGAGGGAATAATCGTAGTAAAAAATGAGCCTTTTGCGACAGCGATAGGTTACTGTCGCAAAAATCATTGAACATATGCTTCCTTCTTTTTGAGACAAAAATTACCATCGCAATAAGTGACTATTGGTGACAGAGTATTAACCGTCTTTTTGCGGCAGTAACATATACCGTCGCAAAAAGTTCCGTCATATACCCTTTTTTCTAGTAATGTAACGACTATCGTGAATGAATGACCAAAAATAAAATATTTTGCGACGGGCAAACAAAAAGCATCGCAAAAAAAAAATGGAATTTTTTTTTGCCACAGTTAAATAACCGTTGCATATAATCTTACTTTTTGCCATGATCTTAGATTTTTCGTTGCAAAAAAAATAATTTCGCCACGGCTTTATTTGCCGTCGCAAAAAGCAAGCTTTTGCGACGATTTTTAAACCGTCGCAAAAGTTTCCATGTCTTATACCCCTTGTTCTAGTAGTGCCAGCTTCCCAAAAGACTTCAATGCCAATTGTTTTTCTTTAATCAGAAATAATAAAAAAAATATATTACAAAATCGATAAAAGATCGAATCAAGCTAATATAACAGTATCACAACATCTGAAAAGGAGATGAATAACTTTTGTAAAAGGAAGAATCCAAGCCTGCATAGAAGAGGAGAAAAAGCCCTTACAAGAGAGAAAAACAACCTTCACACAAGAAGGATCATTACATCACTAAACTAAAATTAGGAAAACCAAACAAAAAAACCAAATCTAAGTCGTCACCGAACTTATCTAAAACTCCATTGCTTTGCCGCCTTTAACTTGAAATTTGAAGACCCCATCTCAGCTAGTCAAGATAGAATATTGAGATTAAGGTAGTCGCTTAATATAAAACAAATGCCTTATCTAACATCGGCCTTCAGACTGTGAGAAGATCTGAAGCCAGATTTTAAAGTTTTGGACTTGAAAGTGAAAAAAATAAGGCAATGATGGTCGGACTTGGGAGATAAATATTAGATCTAGGTTAAGAGGTGGATCGAAGGAAGGGGAAAGGAGAGATGAGAGAGATCGGAGAAGTGAAGGAACCACCGTCGTCTCCCTCTCTCTTTGCAAAAAAATATAGAGAGAAAAGTAAGAAAGATTTAGGGTTTAGAGAAAGACACTAAATCCCATAAAAGATAACCAAATATGAACATGTGTGTAATGCCTATTGTTGAATTGCATTTTCACCAACTCAAATCTTTACCGCATGCTATTGTGTTCAAAAAATTATTTAATTTTACATTTTTAAATAAAAAGCAAGAAATTGGCCCCAAAAAAAAAAAAAATGGACCATGATATAATTTATAAGAAACTAGAAATTCTAGATACTACTAGAAGTTACCCATTCCAAAATCAATTGCAAAAAAGGCAATACAAATATCTGTGAATGGATCTCATCAACCAGATATAAACGTGAGGTGCAATATATGCTTTTGGATTAAGATTCTTTTTCCAAAACTCTATTTTTCTCTATCATGAACAGTCCAGTTGTTATAGTCCCAATTCATTTCTCTTCTCAGACATCAATCTCACCGGCAACACAACCAACCCCACACAAAGATCAAAAAATAAAAAACAAACAAAAATTCAGAACCTCAATCTTTAAAAAGGTCATTGAAAGAAAAACAAATATGCTGTTATATTTTTTCTTCTTTTTCTTCTTTAAATATCTAAAGAAGAATATTAAAATAAAAATAAAAACCTGTAAAAATTATCTAAAAAAGTGCCAAGAATTTAAAATGTGTTGATTAGATTTATTATCACAGCAATTTAAATCTACAACACATATATCAAATTTTTGGGATTTTTTTAAAAATATTTTTTGGGGTAGACTGCGTTAAAAAAAAATAAAATAAAATAGGGGACCGCAATGATCCGCTCATTACAAATAAAACTCTTAATTTTATTTTCTGTCATTTATTTTTTATGCAAATGAGACTATAGCTTTTCAAACCCTAAAAAGTTGTATTGCTTGACCATATAAAGCAGTGCTGCATTGGGGACCTTGTAAAAAGTATGATAGATTGAGGATTGGTGAAGGACCATAACTTGGGGGCCAATTTCAATGAAAGAATGTGACTCTGTGTTGTTATATATATATATATATATATGAAAAGATGGGCAAATTATGGTGAAATAAAAGTATAAAACTTTTCTAGATTCTGTATATAAATCATTTTATTCAGAGAGGACACCTTAGAGATTTCATTCTAAATCCTTATTTGATCCATGGAGAGAAAGAAAACTTTTCTTTGTCATGTTTTAGTTGTGATAATTGACATGTTAAATAAATAAACAAAAATTTGATGCATGGAGAGAAAGAAAACTTTTCTTTGTCATGTTTTAGTTGTGATAATTGACATGTTAAATAAATAAACAAAAATGAAGAAGAGGAGTAATCATAGAATAATCTCTCTCCCTCTCTCTATTATTATTATTATTATTTTTTTTTTTTTTTTTTACCTTAGTCTTGGAATGACAAATGCAGT